CACTCACCGAGGTCATTCATATGGGTCCCGAGCACTTGGCCATGGTGGGGGGCTGCGGACCCCAGAGACTGACAAATGCTGTTATGAATCAGGTCATCTTTTAAGAGCTGGTTTACCAGTGAGACTCTGCTCAGGGCCTCGGTCAGCACATGAGTGGATGTGGATTCTTTGTACCCAGGACGGGAGTTGCCAGAAGACCGTAAGCGAAGAGCTGCCTGTCCCTTGATTGGCTGCCTCACTCTGCAGGCATTGTGGTAGCACTGAAAACTAGCATGTTGGCAAGTGCCTTGGGGAAATAGGGGTGTGGATTTGGGGCATTCACCCCGAGTACAGTTAGGATGTTCCTGCCCGTTGGTGCAAATTGAACAAAATTGCCACCTCGGACTTTATATGCTGAACAGACAGACATCCTGCCTTTGGCCGGCGTGGCCCTCACTGGCCCACCCAGGTTGGTGTTCTTGCACAGTGCGCAGCCTGCCCCACCTTATATGGCTGGCCCGCAGTCCTTTTCGGCTCTACCCGAGAAGCTCTCCTCCAGAAGACCCCTGCTGGGGGGAGGTACCAGGGGAGCGGTCAAGAAGAGGTGGCAATTGGACCAGGCCCTGATGCTAAAAAGAGGGGGCTAGGGGGCATGTTCTGAGCGAGAGGAGCAAGGAGGCAGCCCTCGGGCAAGCTCAGACTAACCAGAGTGATGGTGCTCAGCATTCCCGGGAAGGGGATGTGGACTTGGGTGGGAACTGAGACTGGGAAGGAGCTAGGCAAGCCTCTCAGGGGACCTGAAGGAGGCTCGTGGAGCGGGTCTTAAGTCCTTGTGGAGTTTGGAAAACCTGGATTCTCCCAGTCTCTTCCTTGAGGCCAGAGAACGTCTATGGAATGTTCTGGATTGCCCCAGGACCCTTGTTCTTGGGACTGTGAGGGAACCTGGGGTCACCCGTGGGTCAGTTCCTGGTCCTCACAGCCTGGCTCCCAGCCTGATGCTTCCAGACTGTCTGTGGAGGAGAGGGCGTGAAGCCCAGTTCGAGGCTCTAGTCCATGAAACTGACAGCCTCGCTGGAGAGACACCCTTCCTTAGCTGCACCCCTGACCCAGGCCTCTTTTTCCCTGAGAGCTGTGTCCGCCTACTTTCTGGCTCAAGCCTCTCCTCCTCACAGAGCTGCACCCCTGGCTCGGGCCTCTCTTGGGAGCTGCACCCCTGGCTCAGGCCTCTCCTGGAAGCTGCACCCCCCCACCCAGGCCTCTGGGTCTCCTGGAGGTGGACAGACTCAAAGCCTGTGGGGTAAAAATATCTGGGCAGGAGGGGCTGCTCTGCAGGTGGAGGGAACCCCGAAAGGCAAAGGTTCCTGAGGCGGCTCCAGGAACCATGCCAGCGCTGGGCTCGGAGCTTGGCAGATGTGCGCCCGACATGGTCTTTCCCCCTTCCTGGGAGGGCGGAGGGGCCATGGTCCTCTGCTCCTGTCCCCGGGCAGTGTCCAGGGAGGCCAAGTGGGAAGGGATGGGGGAACCGGGGACAGAGCAGATTCTCAAGCTCGTTGGCATGTGATGTTCACAGCGGCACCGTCAGTTGGACCATTGGTGGGGATGGCGGTTCGATTCCAACTCATAGTGGCAGAACGGCAGAGCCTGGCAGGCAACAGAATGAAACCCTGCCCGGCCGTGCACCGCCCTCACAGGCATTCTGTCTGAGCCCCGGCCACAGCCACTGTGGCAATCCATCTCATTGAGGGCTTCCCTCTCTTTGACGGCCTTCTACTTCACCAGGCGTGGTGGCCTCTTTCGGGGACCCACTGCACAGATGGGAAAAGTGAGTCCCAGAAAGAGGAAGCTATGGTTGCCTATGCCCTAAGGTGGTGGTGTTGTCTTGTGCTGTTGCGTCCATTCTAATACACTGACAACCTCCTGGGCCACAAGGTTGACCTGTATGTCCTCTGGGGTTTTCTGGGCTGCAGGCTTTATGGAAGCTGACCGCCAGGCCTTCCTGCTGCAGCCCCCCTGGGTGGGTTCAAAGCACCAGCCACTAGCCAGGAGCTGTCCATTTGCACCGCCCTGTAGCCTTCTAACTAATGCGGGGGAGTACGTGATTGGGCGAGGGAGGGGGCGGATGAGTGAAGGGGCAGATAGAGAAGAGGGCATGAAGGGCTGAAGTGGGTAAAGCTTCAAGGTCCCCTATGCAGCAAGGTCCTCGGCGCGCCCGTTCTGCAGATGGGAAACTGAGACCTGGAAAGGGGCAGTGGGTGGGAAGTGGGTCACAGCATCAGCCGAGGGCCCCCTGACCTCCCCTCCCCTTGCTCTCTGCCGCAGCCCCGAGCCATGATGAAGACCCTGTCCAGCGGAAACTGCACGCTGAGCGTGCCTGCCAAGAACTCGTACCGCATGGTGGTGCTGGGGGCCTCTCGGGTGGGCAAGAGCTCCATTGTCTCCCGCTTCCTCAACGGCCGCTTCGAGGATCAGTACACGCCCACCATCGAGGACTTCCACCGCAAGGTCTACAACATCCGTGGCGACATGTACCAGCTTGATATCCTGGACACGTCCGGCAACCACCCCTTCCCAGCCATGCGCAGGCTCTCCATCCTCACAGGTGAGGCGCCCTCGGGGCCTGGGCTGGACCCTGCCCATCACTGTGCAGAGTGCCCGGCCTCGCATGCTGCTGCGAGAAGGTCACAGCGGGGAGGCAGGAGCAGAGAGGTGGGCCCTTGCTCTGCCCTGCTTGTCCCTGGAGCGATTGCTCTTGACTGGGGCTCCTTTCCAGGGCAGGAACTTGGGCAGATAGCGGGGCAGTGGGGTCTTGTTCCCAGGAGCAGAACACTGCAGAGCTGCTGCCTCTCTGATCCTGGTGCTGAGCTCACTTGCTGGCCCCTGCTCAGAACTTGGGCAGTGACGCCAAAGGAGTGTCAGGGGAGGGGGGCTCTGCCCGAACAAGGGGCTTGGTAATAAAGGAAGCAACAGTGCTAATTATAGCCAGCCCTTGTAGAGCGCTGAGGAGCCCTGGTGGCGTAGTGGTTGTACATTCAGCTGCTAACTGCAAGGTCAGTGGTCTGAAACCACCAGCAGGCTCTCTACTAGAGAGTCACTGTCAAGGGCTGTTCACCCCTGCCCTGTAGGGTCGCTGTGAGTTGGAACTGACTCGATGGCAGCATGTTAGCAAGGTCTATTTGTCTGCCCCCTCCTCGGCTCTTAGCATGTTTTTACCTAGGAGGCAGGGATGTGAATACCTAAGACCCATTGCCGTCAACTTGACCCCCACCCCCACCCTCGAGGGGACCCCCGTGTGTCAGAGGAGAACTATACATCCACAGAGCTTCCAGTGGGTGCTTTTGGGGGACAGAGATTGCCAGGCCTCTCTTCCGAGGGACCCCGGGGGTAGACGCAAAACTTCAGCTTTTTGGCTAGCAGCCAAGTATATTGTCTGTTTGCACACCTTGGACGGAGGTAGGTATTGGCCTCTATTTTGTAAGTGGGGAAACTGAGGCCCAGCAGGGTTGACTGTCAGTCTAGCTTCAGACTTTGTCCCTCAGCCATCCTGCAGCGTCGAGGCCAGTGGTTCTCCACCTTCTTCATGCCGCGACCCTTTCATACAGTTCCTCATGTGGTGGGGACCCCCCAACCATAGAATTATTTTTGTTGCTACTTCATCACTGTCATTTTGCTACTGTGATGAATCAAGCAACCCCGGTGAAATGGTCGTTTGACCCCCAAAGGGGTCCTGACCCACAGGCTGAGCACTGCTGCTCTAGGCCCTACTGGGGAGCAGTGAGGAGGAGGCCTGGGGGGCTTATGGATTGTGGATGTGGGGAGTTCGGACCACGTGATCCCAAGAGGGCCGGCCGAGTATGGGTCTGTCTGCCTGGCTCCAGACCCAGCTTCCGCCGCTCCCTGCCTCCAAGCGGCTCCTCCTCTGTTGCTTCTCCTGTAAACTTGAGCTTCAGGAGCTCCTGGCGCAGAGGTCCCTGCAAGAATGAAGAGCCAACAGACGCCACATGCTTGATGGGGAGCTAGGAAGTGCTGTGTTCAGTAAATGTTGGTCTTCAATCAGCTCAGCCTCCCCAGGCGAGTCCTTTCCTAAGCCGGCCCTGCCCACTGCTGGGCAGTGGAGAAGAGACGAGGGAGCAAGTAGCCCTCCCACTCACTCATCAAGACCCTAGAGGACCGGGTAGAACCGCCCCTCTGGGTTTCTGAGACTGCACTCTTCGTGGAAGGAGAAAGCCTGGTCTTTTTCCTACGGAGCAGCTGGTGGATTTGAACTGCTGATCCCCCTATGCCAGCAGGGCTCCTCTAGGTCACTACTGAATACCACCTCCACCCTTCATTTGAGATTCTTCTATACAAGAGACCCATGACGACACCCAGCCCTTCTGTCTGCACTCCATCTAAGGCTGAGCCAATGGGTGGGCCTCTCCCGGGGTGCCCTGGGCAGATGGCGTCCTCAGCCAGGCTGCCCTTAATGACTGTCTGGCCCACTTGCACTCAGAGAGGGAGCATGTAGATAGAATGAGCTTCGAGCTGGGCTGGGTTCAAATCCTGGCTCCACCACCTAGGGGGGTAGCCAGGTT